AGCATAGTTCTTCGTCCGGAATCATTAAAAAGAGCATTGAAAAAGTCTGACTGCTCTCTACAACATCAACCACACTTGCTCAACCTGGGCATTTTAAAAGCTTTAGACTATAAACCCATCGGCACACGTATTCAAGCAGATAAAAGTCACTACTTTCTCCATCTTAGCTTCCAAGAACACTTTGCAGCACGATACTTGGTGAAATCAATAACAACTGGTAGCAATAAGTTAAAAGATGCAACAGATTTCATCCAACGCCATAAGTACCATCAACGCTTTGAATTAGTTTTCGCTTTTGCATCCGGTCTTCTTAATGATACTGACGACGATCAATGCATCAACTCATTTTGGACTGCATTATTCTCAGAGCCGTTAGATCTCATCGGCATTAGACACGTAACGATAGTTATTTCATGTCTAGAGGAGACTAGTTATAACTCAAGCATGTCACAGTATCGCGAGCTGATAAAACTAGTTATCAATTGGATTTGTTTGAGCTTCTCGGACAAAATCCATTATCTATACCAACCCTTGTCTAAGACACTACAAGGGACCCCTTCCTTAGTTAATCAAGCTGAAATACTCGACACCTTCGCGAAATTGATTCAACACAAAAATTTGAGTATAAAAACACGCGTGTGTTCGTTCATCCGCCAAGTATCGATTTCGAATCCAAACTTACAATTGATTCAAATTCTTTTAACAGCACTTAGCGATGAGAACCCAGAAATCAGACAGACTGTTTGCAATACACTCGGAACGATAGGTGAAAACGCAGCAAACAAAGAAGTGATCACCAGACTTCTCAATGCACTTGGTGATATCGACGAGTCCGTCAGACGTAGTGCATGTTTCGCGCTCTACAGAATGGGCGATGAAGTTGCTACAACACACGAAGTGACATCGAAACTCATCAATGCACTTAGCGATACCGACGAATTCGTTAGACGCAGAGCTTGTGAAGCACTCGGCACAATAGGTGAAAAAGCAGCAACCGATGAAGTGATTAATGGACTCGTCTATGCACTTGGAAATAGCGATGCTGGTGTCAGATGGACAGCGTGTGAAGCACTCCGAAGAATGCCTGATAAGTCAGCCACCAATGAAGTGCTTAATGGTCTTTTCAAGGCGCTTGGAGATATCGACGAATTGGTGAGACGAAATGCGTGTGAAGTTCTCGGGATATTGTCTGAAAAAGTTACTCACAATGAGCTGATGCCACGACTTGCTTATGCGCTTCGAAACACTAATCCATTGGTCAAAAGCAATGTCTGTGAAGTGATCATGGAAATGGGTGCAAAAGGCGCAACCAATGAAATAATTAATGGACTTTTCAATGTACTCGCAGATACCGATCTTAAAGTGAGAGTGAGAGCCCGTGGAGCGCTCGAACGCATCGGTAACACTACATTAAGTGACATGGTACATAGCAGATTCGTCTATGCACTTAGAAACACAGATGCTAATGTCAGATCGAGTGCATGTGAAGCACTTGGAAATACAGGTGAAAAAGCAGCGACCCCTGAATCAATAATGGGACTCTGTGGTGCGCTCCAAGACACAGTTATCGATGTCAAATTGAGTGCCTGTGAAGCGCTCGGTAAGGTGGGTAAAAAAGCAGCGACAGATGAAGTGATTAATGGCCTTGGCATCGCACTTAAGGATAACGATCCTGGTGTCAGATGGCGTGCGTGTCAAGCGCTTGGAGAAATGGGTGAAAAAGCAGCCACCGACAAAATTATTCAAGAGCTTTGCACTGCATTCCAGGATACCTACCCTTTTGTCAAAGCTATTGCATATGAAGCGCTTCAGAAAATAGACGAAAAAACAGTCAGCAACAAAGTGAACAATCGACTCGTCGCTGCACTCGGAGACACCAATGTTCAGGTCAGAAGGAATGCGTGTGTAGTGCTCGGAAATATGGGTAAAAAATCAGCCACCAATGAAGTGATCAATGGACTCGTCAATGCACTACGGGATGTCGATGCTGATGTCAGACGGCGTGTCTGTGAAGCACTCAGGGAAATGGGTGAAAAAGCAGCCACCAATGAAGTGATCGATGGACTCGTCAATGCACTTCTGGATGTCGATGTTTGTGTCCGACAATATGCCTGCCAAGCGCTCAGAAAAGTGTGTGGAAAAGCAGCCACCAATGAAGTGATCAATGGACTCGTCAATGCACTTCGGGATGTCCATGCTGATGTCAGATGGGATGCCTGTAGAGCGCTCGGGAAAATGGGTGAAAAAGCAGCCACCAATGAAGTGATCAATGAACTCGTCAATGCACTTCTGGATGTCGATGTTTATGTCCGACGAAATGCCTGTCAAGCGCTCAGAAAAGTGGATGAAAAAGCAGCCATCAATGAAGTGATCAATGGACTCGTCAATGCACTTCTGGATGCCGATGTTTATGTCCGACAATATGCCTGTGAAGCGCTCGAAAAAATGGGTGAAAAAGCAGCCACCAATGAAGTGATCAATGGACTCGTCAATGCACTTCTGGATGTCGATGTTTATGTCCGACGAAATGCCTGTGAAGCGCTCAGAAAAGTGGGTGAAAAAGCAGCCACCAATGAAGTGATCAATGGACTCGTCAATGCACTTCGGGATGTCCATGCTGATATCAGATGGGATGCTTGCAGAGCGCTCGGGAAAATGGGTGAAAAAGCAGCTACCAATGAAGTGATCAATGGACTCGTCAATGCACTTCGGGATGTCAATGTTCATGTCCGACAATATGCCTGTGAAGCGCTCGAAAAAATGGATGAAAAAGAAGCCACCAATGAAGTGATCAATGGACTCGTCAAAGCACTTCTGGATGTCAATGTTCATGTCCGACAATATGCCTGTGAAGCGCTCGAAAAAATGGGTGAAAAAGGAGCCACCAATGAAGTGATCATTGGACTGATCAATGCACTTCGGGATGTCCATGCTGATGTCAGATGGTGTGCCTGTGAAGCGCTCGGAGAAATGGGTGAAAAAGCAGCCACCAATGAAGTGATCAATGGACTCGTCAATGCACTTCTGGATGTCGATGTTTATGTCCGACGAAATGCCTGTCAAGCGCTCAGAAAAGTGGGTGAAAAAGCAGCCACCAATGAAGTTATCAATGGACTCTTCAATGCACTTTGGGATACCGATGCTGATATCCGACGATGTGCCGATGAAGCGCTTGGAATAATGGTTGAAAAGGTATACGCTGATCAAGTGTTGAAAGCTTTATTGGATGCATATACTGATAAGCGACTGCAAGCTTCTTTAAAAGCACAAAAATTTTTAGACCGAATCTTCGCGAAGATACCATGTTTTTCCAATTTTGAACGTGGCACTGTTGAGAAACTTTCATGGCTCATACGTGATTTGGAGAAGGGATCATGGGAATATTCTGCTGCAGAGAAAGTTCTCAAAGCTTTTATGGATACAGGAATTTCATTTTGGCTTCCCATCATCAGAAAGATTTTGATTGGTCAAAACTATTTTATTACAGTTATTGGAAATACTGTTGCATTACATACTAGTGAAGAGACGAGTGGGCTATCTTTCACAGATAGTGAACTTGTTCAACGGCTGAAGAATTATTTCATTAATTGCATTGATGAATTATTCTGGAGTTGTGTATGAGTTACAATCTTCGATATTTGCTAGAGTGTGAATCAGCGGGAAATGCATATGATCAAATCGATGGATAGGGCTTGCCACAATTAACTGAACTCATTTTGTATTCGTTTGAAACTTGCAGAAATACATTAACAGGAATGAAGCCCGAACTGAAGCTCATTTGAAATTTGATGTGTTAGCCTACCGTTCAAAATATTTGTTCTCTTCGAACTGGATAGGATGTCTGATAAATTCCAATCCTCTGGAATAATTAACTTCTCCTGTGTTTCTTCAGTTGAATTGACTAAATGGCACAGCAATTATATATGCTAAATGTTCAGATCTACTCTACGCTGGTTTTTGAGCTTTCTACCTCTTCAAGTGGCGGCGACATAATGAATGTAAAATCCATATGAATATTTTTATTATTTTTAGGTATTTTCATAGGATTTCAGCCGCACGTATAAAAGTGATCTTTGACTTTGATTAAGGGTTTAGAGTTTGCATGGGTTTAAATTCTAAGCATTTTGAGAAAAAAACTGCGAGAACTTTTATTTTGGCGGAGATATAGTTCAAGGGGGAACAAACTGATTTCATGATTTCATGATTTCAGATGATTTCAGATGATTTCATATGATTTCAGGTGATTTCAAACTGATTTCAGGTGATTTCAAGTGATTTCAGGTGATTTCAAACTGATTTCAGGTGATTTCAAACTGATTTCAGGTGATTTCAAACTGATTTCAGGTGATTTCA